TATCAAAAAAGTACTCCAGAGTGTTGTTCAGCATGGGGGTGAGTAGAAAATGAAGGCTAATCATGTTTTGGGTGTACTATTCCTTTAAGGCCTCAATTAGCATCAACATTCATTAAATGTGATTTATAGTGGTGTTTAGAAAAAAAAAAAAAAACGTTTATAAAAACAATATCTTCAGTCTGTCCATGGTAAATATGATGAAGGATTTTGTCATCTATATATATATATATATATATATAAGAGTATTAAAAGAGCATTTAAAGCATTAAATTAGAGTTATTCATTCCTGTATCAACCATGTAAAATAACAACCAATGCCACAGTGTAAAGAAAACTGAACAAAAGATTAAGATTAGGGATGAAACATTTAATCGATTATGGAAATATTCGATTAATCGTCTACTGGATTGGAATGTTTTTAGCTGACAGAGAAACTCACCTTGAACAGCGATTATAGTTAAATTTAAAAAATATGTTAACCTTTTGCATGTAAGATTAAAATCTTCATATGTCAATATGCTCTATTCAGCACAAAGTTTTATTTTCACTTTTGCAAAAAGTCTTCTTTAAGGAATCTTTTGCTATCCGATTATTAATCGATTTAAAAAAAATAATCCACAGATGTTCGATTAGCAAAACAGTTGTTAGTTGCAGCCCTAATTAAGATAAAAAGCTTCTTTTTAAGGCAGGAAACCACAATGAGAGCTATTATACATAGAGAAAGAAAAGTTGGATGGAGGAAAGAGTCAATGATTCATACAGAAGGGCATCAAACAAATCAGAACAACGTCTAAATTGCTGTGATCAGTGTGAAGGATTCACTATGAATTAAAAAATTTGCTTTTAGATCACAAACTTACCTGTTGTTGTTTTTGTCCGTTGATGCCATGCAGATCACTATAGATTAGCCTGTGGATCATAGTAGAAAACATAGCAGTGTATCTGAATGGAGAGTTGGCCCAAAATCTTTAAGTGACATTAAAGAGTAAATGAGTTAAAGCAAATGCTCAGTGTTTTTAGCTTCGGGGGGACATGTCATTGGTGCTTTCCCAAGTTTTATTGGATTGCTTTTTCAACACTGATGTTATTTTCTGCTGTTATCTTTGCTTATAAGAACTTTGTTTAATCAGAAACAAAAAAAGTACAAAAAAAAAAAAAAAGCAGTCTAACTGGAAAACAATATTTTTTGAATAATTGTAAATTTTTTTGTAGTTCTGGGTCAAACGTAGCCACATTTTACATATTTTATATTCTAGACCCACCTGTCTCTTCATTATTACCGTTGTCTCCAGTAGCATCATCTTTAGGATGACTCGGCATATTTCTCCTGGGGAAATCTTGCCCACCTTTCTCTGTGAACTAAACCCATTAAGGAGACATTGGAGCTAAACCGTCAGAAGGAAGGCAAACAGCAGCATTGTCTAGTTGACATTTCCTCACTGATGAGTGAAAAACAGACTCCCCATATCAGGTGTTGACCTTAATTCTCTCTGAGCGAACCACATCAGATCAGTCTGCCACCGGGTCATTAGCCTCAGCACTGTCCCCACTCATTCGGAGTCTGGCATATAAAAGAAAACGACTCCCTTTGTTGGTCAGACCTCCGCTTTCAGGTGCTCCTTCCTGTCATGGCTTGGACACATGAAGGGAAAAAGGTGTTCGAGTCAGGAAGCAGAACACTGTCCGCTGCCCTTTTGGACACACAATGGAAGGCACAGTGCTTGTCCAGCGGGCTTTTGGAAGAGTTTAGAGTAGAGTAGTGATCAGGTTGTAACGCTAGCCTACAAAGGAGCCAATTGTTAGCAGCCACTGAGGTGATAACATCACCCCATTTGGAGTGGAAGACCGCGCCTGCTAATTCCAGCGTTGGTTAATCCCAATCAGCTCTGGAGCTGACTGCTAGAAACCTTTTAGTGGCCTAAGGGGAGACCTGCCCCCCCCATGCCCAACAGCTGTCTACCTAAACGGCTTTGTTTGAAGGTACACAATCGGGAGTACAGGTGGCCTTTTGTCTGCAAACACGTCACAAAGTAGGCTGCATGCTTACCGAACAGGCTGTTCAATGATGGATGATTTAACCTTCGTAGTTAATACTTCTTTTAATATCTGAAATCCAGAAAAATTTAATATTTCCACTATTTTTTTTTTTAATAACTGAAAGAATAGGTGTTAAACAACTCTCTTTGGAATTCTAAGAAGGCTACTGATCCATGAGATGTCTGGAGCTTCTCAATTGGTGCCTGATTCTGTTCCAGAGAGGACTTGATGACGGTCAGATATGTATTGCAGTAAAAATGATGGTCATTAACAACCAAACACCTGGATGGAAGCGCCGCTGCTGCTGGATAACGGCTCTTATTGTTCTCCAAGGAATCTGATGACAGCTCCACTCGAAGCGCACAGGGCAAGAGGAATACTTTGCTAGCGTGTCATTAAAGACGAGACATTAAATATGTAGCTTTTGTTTCCAAAGGAGAACTGCATGATGCAGTTTAGAGTGATATCAGTTAAGACTCTGATCTTTGCAGTATTTGTTTGCCTTGAAATTAATTTTGTTACATTGGATCTGGTTACTTTATTGGGATATGTCAGATAGATCAACACAAAGAAAAATGCATACAGGGTTTTTCTCATTTTCAGAAAAGTGGTGTGGATTTGTTTTCAGTCTCTCACTCTGATACCAGATTTCAGAATAAATGGAAATGATTGCTTTCCTTCACCAAAAAAAGTCAAATGAAAGGTTTTGGCCAACATATGAAGTGGTGCAAATCACCCTGAACACACCATCCCAACATGCAGCACGGCAGTGGCAGCATTATAGTATGGGAAGCTAGCTGGTACACAGGGAGATGATGAGGTCTGTTAGAGGACAATGCTGGAAGCCAATCTGAGACTGGTCTAGTAGGACAACAGGCAGCCAGAGTGAAAAGAAATGGTTTAGACCAGGGCTCTTAAACATTTTTGAGGCCAAGGACCCCCAAACTGATGGTGAGATGGAGCGGGGGACCCCCTAATTACATATTTTGTATGAAACTGTATTATATCAAACTGGTCCTATAGTCACTCTGTTACAGATGCTGTCATGTCCTGGGATTATTAAAGTGTTTCTGATTCTGATCCCTCGTTGATGGGACAGGTGTTGTGAATAAAACGGTGCCCAGCTTGAAATAGCTTCTGTATGTCGCTAAATGTGTGCATTGATGACTGCCTCCATTTATCTGTTTACTACAGTGTTTTGAATTCATGGTAATGTGTATTTAAATACATTTCAATTAGTGGAAAAAATTGCAGGGGGGATTATAAAAAAAGAATCTAATCAACCAAAACTTTTGCGACCCCCATGCAGAACCTCCGTGGACACCCTAGGGGTCGCGGACCCCCTGTTGAAGTCCTCTGGTTTAGACCTTAATATATTGATGCCTTCAGAACGGTCTAGTCAAAGTCCAAACCCAAGACTCTGTGGTTTACATTCACAGAAGCATCCAGTCTGATTCAGGTTATTTGGTAAAAAATATTTTTAAAACGCTAGCAGCAGGTATTTCAGCAAACACAAAAGCACACCACACTTTTCAGATTTTGTTTGTCACAATTTAGTTATTTTTGTTCCACACATCACCTTGTGTTTGGTCCTTGATATATTAAATTCCTGTAAAATACTTAAAAGGCTGCAATGGGATAAGATGTGAAAAGCTTGGGGCGATATAATAAATGTAGCCAGACGCTACATGTTAAAAGTTTTAGGTGGTGTATTAAATGTAGGGCTGAAACTACCGATTATTTTTGCAAATCGATTAATCTGTCGGATATTTTTTTGATTAATCAATTAATAATCGGATGGCCAAAGGTTCCTTAAAGATTTTTTACGAACTTAAACCCTGTGAAACAAAAGCTTTTCCACTTGAGGAGTTCTTGATACGGCATATTGACAGAAAAAAAACATTTTTCATCCTAAATGCAAAATGTTTTACATATTTTTTACAATTTTATATAATTACTGCTCTTATTGGGTCACTCTGTGAGCTAAAGGCATGTTTTAGTCTCTATACTCCAGTTAACGATTAATCGATTACTAAAATAGTTAACGGTTATTTCAATAATTGTATAAACCGAGTAGCTGTTTCAGCCCTAATTAAATAAGTGTTTCATTACAAATGTTTTATGTTTAGGTAATAAAAAGGATTGCTTGGATGCAGTAATCATTGTCATACTTAAAGTGACATGGATTCATGTTCAATGATATATTTGGTGGTTTTTATGAACGCTACCTGCCCTCAAAGGCCACATCTGATGTCATATGTCTTTAATGGCAGAGACATTTAATTAAGTAAAAGGCATCCTAATTTAACGTTGTGACGCTTTAGTTCTTTGTTTTTTATTTTCAGAAAATTGAGGCCTGGGAGGCGGAGAAGACTGCTGCAGACATGGAGGAGTACAGCTGGGAGGACAGCCCGTCCCAAAAGAACATCCTGGACACGCTGCTGCGCATGAAAGTGGCTGGAGAGGGAGAGGAGGCTGAAGTTAGAGAGCAGCTATTGGCAAGAGGGGAGGTGCAGGAGTATAAGGACTCAGTTGTGAGGCTAAAGAACGAAGGAGCAAACGAGAACAGCATGTTGCAGTACAAGGAGGCGGTCAAGAAGGTACTCAACGTGTGAAACCATCACAGAGGAAAATAAACTGATTGATAGGAAGATGGTGACCAAGAACAAGAAAAGAACATCTTAACTCAAATAACTCAGCCTGCATTTTTTCTGTACTATGATAACCTCGAATATCTGTGGTATTTATTTTCCAAAATAAATTTGTTTGTAATATCCAGTACATCTTTTTTTTTTTTTTTTACTAAAATAAAACTATATCATGAGAAACTGTTTGAGTTTTCTCTTTGAACTTTAAAAGCTCCATTCAAATAACTTTATGGTAGGTTTCAGTTTCCATCCCACCCATCAGGTTTCTGAAAGTTTCCCTGGTTGGAAAAAATATTTCTCCATCAGCTGCAGTGGGTGTTGCTATAAGATAAAGTAAAGACAACTGGTGATGTTATTTCCTTTAATTGTGGCATCATGTTTGAATCTCAGAAATTCATTTTCATGAAGTCTACATGCAAAAATATGTTATGTTGAACCATGTTGTTAGATGTTTTTGTTGAAAAGTGCTTCAACAGGTTTACTAACTACAGTGGTCGGTTCGTGTATTTTAGGGTTTAGCAAAATAAAGGAGGAACACCCAATCCAATGAGTAGCAGATTTATAATATGGAATATTACAGCTGTGTGAATTTTCCTTATATCCAACATGTATAAGGAGCTAAATGTAGCTGTTTAATAACAGGTTCTGTTCATTAAAGCTCTAAAAGATAGAAGTATTACCCAGAAAGTCTGATTTCTGGTACAGTATACTCCTTTTTTAACTAGCTGACCAGCAGTGCACAGCAACTCTCTGTGTCTCTTCCTCCAGCTTCTCATTAAAAATGTTCAGTGGAAAAGTTTTAGTCTGATATGCTTTGGTTTTCCAGTAACTGGCCCGCACCTATTGTCATGGAGCGGAGGTTTTTTCAGGAATTCTCCTTAACCAGCACATACTTAATCAGACGCATGGAGGCTCGTTTTCCTCTCCAGGATGTGCGATAGCGGCCCGTCCTCCTCCTCTGGCCCCTCCAGCTCACAACCAGCAGAACAGAGCAACAGCAGCTCCCCAGGAGGGTGACGCAGATGGCCACGGCAACCAGCAGAGTGTGGGCAGCCATGTGCCATCCAGGCCCCTGCTCCCCTTTGGTGTCCTCCTCACCGCCGTCCTGACCTTCAGTGTGGTTCCATCCAGTGGGTCCTACTGTGCTGCTGTTCTCTGTCCCACTCTTTGAAGCTGAGGCTGTTGTAGAGCTGCTGCCCAGCATATGCATTGTAGTGGTTGGATGATGGGTAGGGACAGGTGTGAAGGGTTTTGTAGTTGTACCTGAAGTTGTCTCCAGGTTGACGGTAGTCGTGTTGGTAACTGAATCTGACGTGACGCCTGGTTCGGTAGATGTGGCAGCAGCTGGCAAGATTTCTGTTTGGATGGGCGTTTCTGAGGATGATGGGGTTCTCTCGGTGCAGCAGAAGGTGGTTTTAGTCGGAGAATCAGTTGTAAGTTGAGGAATGCTCTGCTGGGTTGTGTTGGTGTCTGCCTCCGTCCCTGGAATGGAAGGTTCTTCAGGGGAGGAAGAGGTGGGAGGCTTTACAGGATGAGGAGGCGGATGGATGAACTGCCGCTTGTCTGAGGGCAGCGGATCAGAGGCGTTCACCCTACTGTAGTGGTGGGGGAGCACGCGGACGTTGGATGTGAAGTGTTTCCCAAACACCAACAGGTCAGGATCCACACCTGGAACATGAGGAAAAGTATTTTATTCTCTGGATCACCCTTGGAATCCTCTCTTTTTTATTTGGCTACTTTCAACTTTAACATAAAACAATATGCACATTGTAAAATATACATCAATGTATCTCAGAATGTATGGTAAAAAATACATATTCATACACCATAAACTTTATTTATGGTTCCATTAAAACAAAAAGAGCATTGAGTTTCAACAAAACTATGCTATTGGTTCCCCATAAACAATAGATCAGGTAAAGGCGGCATTAATCAGAGACGGCCAATATGTGACTCTGTAGGAGCTGTAGATCCGCAGTTTAGGTGGGAGAATATGTTGAAATTACAACTACTAAAGGTTTGGAAACACCAGTATAGACTAAAGTTTTCCACAAGTCATTGAGGCTAAGCAATTGTGGGGGGAAAACAACCAAAAAACCCTTTGTGCGATGGAAAACCAACATTTTGCATCCCGCTCTACACATCACCCACAGTGAGGCACAGCAGATAGCATGTTAGCAACAAAATGCTATGAGGATGCTTTTCTTCAGCGGGGACAGTGAAACTGGTCAGAGTTTATGTGGAAACAAATGAATCTTTTTCAAGGCAAATTCACAAAGAAACCAGCAGGACAGTGAACCGAACAGTGTCAAAGCAAATATATTTATGGTCCTCACTTATATCTATGGAAAGCTGTTTTTTTTATATATATAATTTTTAAAAGGCAGATTCACACTGGCTTAAAAGCTTACAATGGTTTAGTGAAGTTTATTCTTCATCTATTACTGCAACTTATCAAGGAATATATGTATTACTTAAAAATGTATAAATAGGCTTTTTTTGAATAAAATTGTACAAGTAGGAGGTAGAAACCTTGGCTGGTACAGTGCTCCTTTCATATTGAACAAGAGCTATTGGTAAAAGGCAAAAGATATCTCTAGTTGGTAGCATACAAACTTTTACCTGAAGTGTCTGCATGGGCGGTTCTAGACAGGGGCCAACGGGGACCAGTGCCCCTGTAAATCATGTCCTGTCCCCTGTACTGAAGAAATAATACTTAAAAGAAATTCTAATGATGATATGTGCTGGAACAGACATGGTTACTGATAGGTGCTTTGGATCTATTTCATTTTTTTTCTTTATAAATTATGTTTTACTAATTATTTAAAAACAATACGGTGATAGCTTCAGTGGTATTGAGATAGTTTCCCAGTTTTCATCTGCTAAATGTTTTTTTTAATTAAATATAAAAAAAATACTCACATTTTTAAAGCTGAATTTATCAGTTTTTCTTGAGTTCTAATCCAGATTTGATAGAAAATTGTAATTTTAACTTAAATTAAGTGACCTCATAAGAAATATAATTTTTATTAAACCTAATTGAATATAAATTTCACTTCTTGCAGCTCTCTTAATGTATTTGAATCCCTTTCCCTGTTTTTTATTTTATGCTTTTCTGTCCCCATGAAAACAGACTGGCCCCCTCCTGGCCCCCTGGTACCTTTGGTCTAGAACCGCCACTGAGTGTCTGGTTTTAATTTGACAAATTGGGGGGAAAATAATCAAAATTCATCTTAGAGAAGCGTTCAGAAAGATGGCCTATTTAAATTTATTTTGATTTCCATCAGATGAACCTTGGCTTACCCTTTGTGATGTTATAGAGGACAACATTGTCCCTGTGCCTCAGTATGCAGCTCTCCAGGGTTGGACAGTGCAGGTGGACACAGTTCACATTCCCATGCGTGGCATCAAAGTAAAATATGGCCAGGTTACAGGAAACTTTAGAAAGAAAGTGAAATCAGAATCAGGAGAAATGAGCATAAATGAATTTACCTGCAAAGCTAAAACTTTAAAGTCAGACTTACAGTTTCTGGTGAGGCAGCAGCTGCGGCTGCATTTCAGCGCCGTTTCTTCAGGGTAGGACCTCAGCAGCTGCGCTCCTCTCCTCTGAGACTCCTCCATGTCGATCAGGATCCCCGGGAAGCGCCGGATCCAGCAGTTCTTGTAGTAGGAGGTCGGGGAGCAGATGGATTCAGTGTGGCACACCAGGATCAGAACAGTCAGCAGGGCGCATGTGGCGTTCATCGCGTCCGGTTTGGGTTAAACCATGTTTATATCACAGCTCGCACATATCCAGCAGGATGAGGGCGTAACACAGGTGGCATTCTGCTTCTAGGTGAGTCTCAGAGGAGGAGGAGACCAGGGCTGGCCCCTGAGGAGTTTTCCTCTTAAAAACACAGATAATTATTCTAGATCGGGCTTGATTCATTTGCAATTTTAATTATGTGCAATAACACAAGCAACTACACACATATACTGACTCTGAATTTCAATATCTTAATGATTAACTTTGTTTAAATATATTCAAAGTCTGAGAATGGGGCGCACCCAGTGGCGGTTCTAGAACAAATGACCGAGGGGGCCAGTGTGCAGTGTTGCCAACTCCTCAGTAAGGAAAGTAGCTATTGGGTGTGCTATAAGTCGCTAGAAGTCGCGGAATGACGTCATTGTCTAATTTGCATAATATATATACTTTTTTTTTAATTAACTTTTCTTTTTTTTCCCCTTGTGGTCCACTAAGGACCTTTAAAATCATGCTAAAACATGAACATTTTGAACCATAACATTTTTTTTTACATTACATTAACAATCTAAATGGAAAAAAACGACTATAAAGAATCAATGACAATGTGAGCAAATGGTAATTGTTATTTTTTTTTAAACTAATAAGAATTCCCTGCACACACACAGGCTGTGCTTGCCTGCTCACAGAAAGAGTGGATCATGGTCATGTTGGTCAAGGCTCTCTATGGCAGGTTCAGCAACTGAGGGAGCTGACTCCAGAGTAGGGTTGTCACGATACTAAACTTTTCAACTCGATACCGATACTAAGTAAAATATTCGATACTCGATACCATTTTCGATACCAGAAGGATAAAAACAAAGACTCCAAAATTCAACAGAAATATTTTCATTAATAAATAAAATACAATAAATAAACACAATAAAGGTTGTATGCTGTGCACAGTATATAGCAAGCTTGATAAAAAACTTACAAAATTAAAATTAAGTTTTCCTTACTTGGCTATGCTTTGCACACATAACAATGACACTAGCCAAACCGGTTGAGAAACAAAAATAATTCTCAGCAGCTGCAACTGTTACAAAAAAAGTCTGAAACTGAAAAGTGCGTAGAATTATTCAATCACACAGTGTTCAGAAAGTGCATTTTCCTCTATTCTGCACTTTAGATGAATGACTGTTTAGGTGCGACTTGTACTCGATACTTTTGTAAATGAGTATTTTATCCGGATACAACATTTCAGTATCGATACTTTTTTGAGTATCGATACTTTTGACAACCCTACTCCAGAGTGATCAACCTGCGCCGTCAATCCCGGCGCAAGCGCGCGGTTCATTTGCAGCCTGGATGCTGAGGGTAAACATGCTGTGTCTCTGACTGTAGCGCTGAGAGGGACTCCTGTGGAAGCGGGAGAACGGGGTTGGGATGGGGGGAGGCGCCCCACGGCAGACACCAGAAAAGTCGCCAGATTTGTCGCCAGTCGCTTTTTTGAAAAAGAGTCACTGGAGGGGTCTGAAAAGTTGCTAAATATAGCGACAAAGTCGCTGAGTTGGCAACACTGCCAGTGTGTTTTCATGGGGACAAAAAAGCATGAAATAAAAGACAGGGGAAGGGATTCAAAAATATTAAGAGAGCTGCAAAAAGTGAAATTTATATTCAATTAGGTTTAATAAAAATTCTATTTCTGTTTCATAAATTGGATAATTAAAATTACCATTTTCTATCAAATCTGAATGAGAACTTAAGAAAAACTGATCAATTCAGCTGTAAAATTTAGAGTATTTTTTGTTTGTTTTTTTGAGAAAAAAAAACATTTAGCAGATGAAAACTTGGATCATATCTCAATACCACTGAAGCTATCACCTTATTGTTTTTAAATAATTAGTAAAACATAATTTGTAAAGAAAAAAAAGGAAATAGATCCAAACCACCTATCAGTAACCATGTAGTTTCCAGCACATATCATCATTAGAATTTCTTTTAAGTACTATGTCTTCAGTACAGGGGCCAGGACATGATTTACAGGGGCACTGGCCCCCGTTGGCCCCTGTTTAGAACCGCCCATGGGCCCACTCATGGTTTCAAAGTTAGGTGTTTGGGCTGCTGCTTGAGGTAGGATTCAGTTCCAGGATGGGTTTTAACTGCAGATCATAAGCAAGGATGTTAATGTGGGAAAATGCGATTCCTCCAGCTGTAGCTCTGCATCACGGTCCCCTCTATGTGAAAATAAAAAATTAACTTTAACAAACCACACAAAAACTGCAACTCTGTCTTTCTATGACGTCTCTGAATCCATGATTCCGATCCACAGAATCCAAACCACATTCACTCAGCCGCTCTACGCTGGCATTTGCTTTTATTTCCGTGACTGGGCTTATGCCGAGTTCTGTAATCCCAGAGAAGCAGAATAAATCAGATTAAAAACAATGTCGAATGTATTCTATGTGGTCTAACTCTATCCTTAACATAAAGTGACTTACTGTATGAGATGTTTATTTTTTTAAAAGATGCATTGTGATAAATCAGAATTTAATTAAAAGTTGTCTATTTTTTGATAAATCCAATAGGTTGATAAATCTAATCTAATGAGTTGATGAGATCCAAAGGCAATAAAAGCTGCTTAAACAAACATGATGTTACTTTACATGACTTTACGAGCAAACTGATGTGACCCAAACCTCATCAGACGCTCCATGGGACCTGATCTACATCCCTTTAACAATCTATGGAGGAAGACGAGAGACACCAGACAGCGAGCATAACCCAAAAGTCACCATAAAATAATCTGGGCTTTACATCACAACAGAACCACAGAATGATCGCCTTCATGCCATTCTGATCGATGCATGAAGTGCTGACCTTGTGTCCAAAGAGCATGTCATTTACATCCTGGTGAGGCTGCAGGGTTGCCATTTTAAACCTCACACTTGTTACTCTGGGTACCGTTGCAAGACCCAGACCTCACGATACTCAGTGACACTGCAAGTTGCTCTTTAATGAATGGATAAAAGGCAGACGACTAGTTTAGGTGCAACATGGAATGAAAATAATGATCATTATTGTGATGCAGTAATTCCTGCAAAACAAAACCAAATGAACTACTGAGTGCTTAACAATAAACATTTCCGAGCTGAGTGAGTTTCTGTTTAGTTATTTTTCAGGATCTTATCTACTGTATTTATGAGATACTAAATTTTGAGATTTCAATACCTGTAATACTGGTATGAATACATATATGTTCCAAAAAAGAATTAAAAACAATCCACTGGGCTTTGTTTCCAGGTTTGAAGACGTTTCGCTTCCCATTCAGGAAGCTTTTTCAATTCAAAATGTCAGGAATAGCTTCAAGTTCGAGGTTTTATACAGTAGCCCATTAAACTTGGTTTTTGGTTTGAAAACATGAAAATTGAAACAGATGAAGGGGTCCATCCCTTTGGACTGGGGGTCGTTTGGCTTCTTTTGTTAGTCTGCAATGCCCCATACCCGTCTAAGTTTTCTGAAGCTTCCTGGAGGGGAAGCAAAACGTCTTCAAACTTGGAAACAAAGTCCAGTGGATTGTTTTTAATTTTATTTTTTTTGCAATGACTATGACCTGGATGACTAAAAATCTTCACCAGCACAATACATATAAAAATTGGGTTATTTTATGACTTTGAAATAATAAATATTATCCCAATACCATAAATCTGCATGTTCTGAATTGTCCTTGTGTGAATAATTTGCAAAGCCACCTTATTCCCAGAGTCCTTTGGCCAAATTCTACATATTTAATAGCTCCAGTTTATTCAGGCTTAATAAAGAGTTTTTGACTTGGCGATTCAAATAGCTGTCATCATATACTACTTTAATCTAATTGCTTTTTGTTGTTGCTCTCTGAATGATTAAGGTTGTATTTTTCCATCTAAGGTATCTTTGCACACTGCAAAAAACTGAAATCTAAATACCGGTAAGTAATTTTTCTTAAAATAAGAGCCTTTTTTCTTGAATTGAGAAGGTAAGTGAGGCACTTTTCCAATGGAACAAAACAATTTACATTTAAAATAAGACAAAATAATTGCTTAATCTTATCTCAAGTGCACATTTTCTAATTATTTTAAGAGTAAAAATACTAATTCCATTGGCAAATCATCTTATTTATCTAGTCAATTTAAGGTTAAATACACTTGATTTAAGACATTCTTACTTATTTCTAGACCGTCTTTGCAGTGTAGGGTTTTATATTTCTGTCCAGGATACCTGTGTTTAACTCTATTATCTTCTCATCAACTCCGAACCTGCTACCTTAATCACTCATCATGATGCTACCAACATGTAAATGTATTCAAGGTAATGTCCAGTGTTATTTTTTTTATTGTTTTGCCACACAATTGCTTTGAATGTAGGCTGGAAAATAATATTTTTGGTGTAATCTAACTAGAGCACCTTCTACCCCATGCTTACGATATCCTCTACAAACCATAAGCAGGTCATATGATGTCGTTGTTCTTACCAATCCTGGAGCTTTTATGCTATTTAAGGCTCCATGAGGTGTTCAAAACTCCCCGAGCCGTCTGCTGTCTTTCTTGGTTCTCTTGATGTTGTTTGTAACACACCTTTAAAGATCACCTTTACAATTTGAGTGACTGCTGAAGTTCAACTGGAGTATCAGAATGATGTCATAAAATCCCAAATATTCTAGATTACAGTTGTAATGAGACAACAGTTTTATAAAAAGTACATGAAGCATTTCAACCACATGTACTCAGTAAATTGTAGGTTTATAGAGATAAATCGTTTAATAACATATGCCATTGGATGCATACCACACTTAACAAAAAACCAGCAACATGAGTTCTGTGTGAAACACGTGTTTTTTTCCTATCAGACACAGGCCAACTACCAAATGCAGACAATTTCAGCTTACAGTTCCCATCTGGTTCAGGTCAGCAGTCTTACTATGTGCCTTCAGTCGGAGTCAGACCATTGTCAGTCAAAGACAAGAACACAATACGAGACACATTCAACGTCAACGCCAAACAAAGAGAATACAACAGGTTTCTGCCATTAGGTTCAGCTGCTCATCCTAACTTTGTAAAG